GTATTTACTATAATGTATAAGGAAAAAGTTGATTTTTTATCACAGAACATATACATACATAACGTACTTATCCAGTTTGAACAATGGACTTCGTTCGTATGAACAAATTCTCACGTGCTGTCTTTTTAACTTTAAGATCAATTCAATACATATGTTTTCGTAGCACTATAATATGACTTTAATAGAAGATTTTATTGTAATGTTCAATAGTTTTTCACAACCCATGCATATGTACAGCATATACAGTACATACAGGAGCCCCGTATACACAGCGAAAAAAATATAGATAAGAACAGAAACTGCATGTAACACATTCTAATTTAATGTATTTATCACTTTTTCGACAATGCACCCAATGTCAGTTAAACAACATTTTGAAACGACGCATTTTGTTAAGATCTATTACGGAGCCAACAAATGGCTGACGTCGCGTATACGTTTGATGTTTCAATGTAAATTACGACGAAATTACAACGGTTGTCTTCCATCGAGGTGAAACCGACAAACAATGATATGGAGAGGATGACAGATTTGAAAAATATGAATTCAGTATAATTCAAATCATTCGACGGCTTCTTAACTTTAGAGGACCTTCGTCCGTGTTAGGACTACATGGACACCCACCTCAAAAGACAACTTTCCTCGTTTAAGTTTTTCGTAAATCCCAGTATTAAGAGCACTGATGTGACAATTATTGCTGACAAGCCGAGAAAATGAGAATTTGATACTTAATTCGCACACTCATGTATACCGGCTGTCTTCCGGTACTGGCTAGTGTTTTTACGAGAGACGTTCTTTCGAGAAGGTACCACTGGTAACTGGTTCCTTCTTCGCGAAGTTTCGATTAGGTGAAATTGTTAGCCCGGTTAGCCGAATCGATTGTTGTGGTGTGTGTGGTGTGGTTGTAGCCTACAATTCTGACCGGCAACTGTATAAACAAGAAACTGCAGAAAATTCCCTAGATTACGCCGCAAATTTCGCAAAATCCAGTGTAACACACATTATCCTTTTGAAATCGAATTCTTAACGCATGTATACATTTTCAAATAAACTTATTGTACATATTATTTATCTATTAGTATGGAATTTATTCTCCTACTTATATATAAAAAATGTTATATCATCACTCATCAACTTTCTCCAGAAAAATAGACGTAGTTTAGGAGGGACTGCGCACTACTCCCCTCAAGAAGTGGACACGCCGAAGAGAGCTGAATATATATATATTTTCAGCTCTCTTCGTATACGTATACGTATACGTATACGAGAAATATATATATTTTCAGCTCTCTTCGTATACGTATACGTATACGTATAAGATTTGCCATGCTCGTGCCTAGGGTATTCGTCTA